CAAAAAAGTAATTAACAATACTATAATTAATCAAAATACAACGAATTAAAAACTATATGCACAGATACAATAGATTTACAACGCGAAATTTTGATCCTTATCAAAATTCTCAAAAAATAATCTAATTCTCTTTCAATTTATCAACCATTGCCTTAAAAGAGCAGGCGTTAAATACTCACTCTAAATCATTTAACTGATAGGGATATGATAATTTATTCCTAAACCTGAGAAGGCGGTATAAGTTGGATGACTGTCAGTTGAAAGATTGTATATAGTGTAATTACTCAATTGTATATATTGTAAAAAGCTAATTGTCTTCAGACATATACTGTTACTATACTGTTACTAAAAAAATGGGCCTATTTCCTGCCTTTAGACTGTCTACTAGCTCTTGGATAGCGAAAATGCCTTTTTCCTTTCTTAAATTCTTAATCATTGCGACACGACAATTAGCCAGAAATTAATTAATTTCATTCACTAGTATTTTTAAAAAATCTTAACAGACGGTCTCTCTCAGATAAGAACTCCACAAAATACATCCCTCAAGAATTCCAAGTCCCACCCACTATTATAAATTTCTTCACCCCAAGTCTTGCCGACTGATATAATTCAAAGCCCCTACTGCCGCTAAGAATTTTCGGACACCCCTACACTTCTGAGTCAGACACGAAGAGAACACACTGCCAACTCCCCCACTAGAAAGAATGTAAGTTACTTAATACCTTTCTGGCCTTTATATCTTCATGTACATTCACTGATCTTATTTATATTATTTTCTATTTTATTTTTATATTATTTTATGTTCTCTTTGATTTGTTTTTGCAAAGTTTGCATTATTTATCTTTTTATAATCTTCTATGTTTATTTCAACTTTACTTTGATTTCGATTTCATAATGACAATTTCCATGTTTAATTTCTACAAATAATATAGTACTCAAATACATAAAGATGATAGTGTCGGGGACGATTACTCGAGTTTTACAAGATTTCTCTACAGTAATTGATTTTTACTCCAAATTGAATTGACTAAAATGCTTCATGAGAATCAGTTCTTTGAGTAACAACTATTCGCGGAAATATTTGGCCTGACTAGAATTGCCGGTTTGGCTTAATTTATAACTCGAGTAAAGACGAAACACTTTCATATTACGTATTTCTATCAATTATTGATCATTGAACGGGAGTTGGTTTGTTCCCCTTGAAAAGTCAACTAATTTCCGATCAATGACAATAATTACATGTTTTAATTTTTACTTTTACAATTGTAATATTATTCTTCGTGATGATTTAACTCCAGTCCCCGTTAAAAACATTATTAACATTTTGCTTTCAAATTACTTCAAAACATCTTTCAAAATATAACTTACCAGTATGGATGCACACTTTTAAAATAATTCTACTTTAATTAAACTTAGGAGATAATATAATCAATTAATCAATACGGTTTAGGAAATAAATTATTATTAACTAACTTTGCAGCAATTGCGCAAGTAATAATAACTTGTATTCGCACTAAATGGATTTAAGTTCATACAACATATATATATATATATATATATATATATATATGTGTGTGTGTGTGTGTGTAATTATATATTATATAGTTACATATATATATACCCAGATTAAATTTCTCCAGTGAGTGAAGCACGCGCAACATTTTTTCCTTCTTTGGATATAACCTGAATGTATTCAGCACAAAATGGCGGAATTTATGCAAATCATGAGATAACTACGAAAACTTCTTTCGTCTTGGGAATCATGTGCTCGAAATTTCCAATATTCTTGTTTCCCTCGGGCAACTATTGGGCTCCAGTATATATTCAATTAGTGACTTTCATCGTTGTATATGAGATATGCATGCGTATTTATTTGTTGCAGATTTTTTTTCTGCAGTCTTTCTTCGAGCATCTACTTGATGCAAGGCAGTTATCGTTACTGGGAATGGAGCTTTTGTCAAAGAACTGAATACATTATTTGAAATAAAACATATAAAAGTGTTTGTCTCATCGACATGGATCTGCGTTTCCCTCGACGGCTTACATGTTATTAACGCTTTCTAGTTGCGAGAAATATCGGCGTTATTCGTTAACGCAAGAAATGTGAACGTTCTTCATTGTTATTGCAGTTTATTGCTTTAAGCTAAACTGCTAAAGCCTGGCATCTAGCCTGTGTGCGTTTACTGTCAAGTTTTGTAGCTTGTTAAATGAGTTTATGTTCATCTCCATTTAGCGCTAAGCAGCTGTTTATTATTGCTTATTTAATTTATTGTGTGGTATGGAAATATGGATAATGATTAACAAGATACGTAACGTAATTATATTTCCCCTTGCACATTAATTCTGGTGCGAGAATTTTCAATTCAAGTTTCTCATGCGTTATGTCCCATATTTTGCTTTTTACACATATTGGTATTTTAAACATCTCTTTTGCGTTACTTTCAAATTCTCATGTGGCCCATTGAGATAGCTGAATGTAGTTTCATTGTTTTTAATTTATTATCTCTTTGCTTGCGTATACTGCATTTCCCCGAGAAAAATGTACGCTAATAAAAAAGTCAAAGGTTAGAAGTACTATTCTGGACACATCCGTTAAAAGTACGCGGTCACAGCAGATCCATTTCATTAGATTCTTAGAATAGTATTTATCTCGATTTCTGTCCTTTTTTTTAAACCACCCAGACTTTTGTGGTACCTCCCTTCACGCAGTATAATGCTTTTGCATAATTGAACGAGCTCTGCTGCCGCCGCTTATGAATGTTTGACAACATACTCTCGGTAAGCATTATGAATGTTTGAAAGAGGTGAAGCTCCAGGATCGCTGTTACTGTAGCAGTCAGCAGGGATTTGTCGTCGCTTGTGCTTAGAGCTAAAAGGAAAGGAAGGCCCTTGGCGAAGGTTCTCTCGGATATAAAATCAAAAATATAAATAATTGAAATCAAATTCTACTATTTTAAAATTGAAAACTGGGGTGCTCGTAAATGAGAAACCCATCCTAATCAACTGCTGTGCCTCTTGTGCGTGGATGGGAAAGTGTATCCATCTGATAACTGTGAATTCCTAAGTAGTCATTGTAGTATATTCATTCAGCTGGCAAATTTATTTGACTTTATTTATTCATTTATGTTATCTTGCTTGTTTATCCCAATAACATCTGACCTTTTCAGTTACTGATGAAAGAAATGTAAAATATTTTAACAAAGAATATATTCAACAATGGCTTAATTTTTTCTTATTGGTGTGAAAAACAATTTAGCAAAACTTATTGTTTAAGAAGTAGCAATCGTGATTTTGAAGGGAAATCGGGAAAAGACTACTTCGTATTAAATAGACCGAAAGCCTTATGCAACATGATTAGGCATTATCCGCACCTTCATGAACTCATCCAACGGCCGAGCCGTAAAGTCTCTGAACATTGGTGGTCACTTCGGTCCGGAGTTCGAATCCCGGCGAGCGGACTGACTGCACCGGCGTTTTTCCCCATGTGTAACATGTATACGAGCCAGTTTTCCTTGGAGTTCCCTTAGGTAGATAGCCCTCGAATTTGCCGTAAACCAAACCAAACGAAACCGTACCTCCATCAAAAGTGGCCAACTCGTTAGCAAATTTGTTATTTATGAGAAACAATATGTTTGACTATCTTCATGGCTTGCTGCTATTGTTCTCTTCATAAATCATAATAAAAAAGCAGTAAAAAAGAATTTATGAGCATAAACAAAAGTCTATATGGACGATGTTTATATTTTTACTGTCGATAGGTATCGTTTAGCGAACTGACGGTTAAATGTAAAGTGTATAAATCAACATGTGTTCAAACACAAATGGGGCATGTGGCATACTTGATTTTGGCATTGTCGCGTGTACACTCGAAAGTACACTAAAAACGTGGCAGTTTTATGGAACGTTGAAGGCGGGAAGGCGGATAATCAAAAGTGCTACTGATTTGTTGATAACTCGATATTTCAATCAGTTTTACTAATAAATGAGTAAAACTAAATAACATATTAACTTCTTTATAGAAAAGTTAGCTGATGTCATTTTGCACGATTTAGCTTTTAATTGTTTATTTTTTTTTTCCCATTGTAATGTTGGCTAAAACCGTTCACTGATTTAATTCGTTGACTAAATTAGGAACATTTTAAACTGTTTAAATTAATTTTCTACAAATTATATAAAGCACACAATTATAATTTTCTTATTTCTATGAGCTTTACGTTCAATTTTTCGAATTTTAAAAAAGTTGTATTTGTTGATTCCGAACCCCTTACTGAAAGTATGGCTAAACTGAAGTTTCATGATTTTTGTTACCTAATTAAAACAGCATGATAAAATCTCTCCTTAAAGTTTTTTAAAAGTAACTTTCGTGTGAAGCTATTATACATATATATATATGCAACTAGATAGATAGATAGATTAAAAGGCAAACAATGTTAATATCTTGTTATTGCTTCTTAACTTAGTGCAACATAATTTATTTTATGAATTTAATTGTTATTCATGTGTGTGTGATTATGGCAAAGCCTCGAGGGCTATCTGCCTAAGGAGAGGGATGCCTTCGTGGAGGACTTTCTAAGGGAAACTGGCTCGTATACACGTTACACATGGGGAAAACAACGAAAACGCCCATGCAGCCAGCCCGTTCGCGGGATTCGAACCTCGGACCGAACTACCAGTGTTCAGCGACTTTACCGCTCGGCCGCTGGTGGGCCAATTGTTATTCATGAATAATTTAGTACTGAAGAAAAATGCTATACACAACGCTTAATTATTACTTTTTCCATGTCATAAGCTCTCTCAAAAATGGTAGGAAAAAATATTTTATCCTTTGTTTTTTATTTATTTGTGTAACCTAAACAGCACTTAGTGGAAATTTAAGTTCGTCTGTTGTAAACATTGGTATGTTATACTTTGTTATTAATGAAATTGTTAATTTCTTGTGAAAGTGTATACCTTCTAATGGCACTTATATTTTCTAACTTACTTCTTTATTTCTTTTGCAGCAAGTGCAAATCAATGACGATTTTTGTGGTATGGACGTTAATACGCCACTTGGGGGCAGCATGCCTATTGAAGCCACTCCTGTTCTTACTTATTCTGGACTTCTTTTGACTTCCGTTGCTGCTACTTCCACCCATGATTACACTGTTGCTTTCATGGGCACCGCTACTGGTCATTTAAAAAAGGTAAGTTCGTCTTTTTTTTTTTTTTTTTTTAATGGGCATAATTTTAATACCTTTAAAGAAAATTCTCGATTGACTTTCAATGGTAACTCTGAGGGACATTAAATAATACGCTTTTTATTGCACAGTATTTCTTGTAAGATCGCGATCTAGTTTAGATTGGAGCAGCGGTTCTCAACCTTTCGACCAACGCGTACCATCTAAACAAAAATTGAAAACCTTTAGTACCACCACTACCAAATACTGCTACCACCGGTGGTACTCTTGAACGAAGTTCAGATCGCATAAATTTACGAGTGTTAGTGAAAAAACTGTATCAGAATGTTGGGGTTTTAATTTTTGAATTTAATAGTTAAAAATACTTTGCTTCTTTGCGTACCACCTATTTTTCTCTTGCGTATCACCGGTTGAGAACCCCTGGATCGGAGTTTTGCGACCATTATGTAGCAAAAGAATTTCCTGACTTTCCTCTGAAAATTGCAATTCAAATTAATCTATGATGTATTCCATCTTAATAGGCTTTCAGAACCCTTGCTGTAAATGACTCATTAATTTCGAAAATCCTTGTTGCTTGTGGCCGAATTGTTTTTTATGGAAAGTTAGAATCATGTTTATGTTTAACTTCTTTACATAAGAAACAAAACAGACTGCATCGTTCCGTTTGCATGCCACACGGAACGATTTCCTCTCTTCTTATTACTTTACTACTCCGAGTATTAGAACTACGAATACGACTGACATTCAAAATAAGCTGGAAATCGTATGGATTGTGAATGTACGGCATCCATTTTTGTTTCGACCAAGATAATCCAAGATGGCATACTCGGAGTAAAAATGGCTCCTGATGCTGTGTTTTGCGGGCTTATCTCGAAAATATGCGTGCTAGCTCAATGCAGCACGGATAAAAAAAACGGTGTATTCAATAAGATAAACTTTTTTTTTTTTTTTTTTTTTTTTAGGGCGGGAGAAACTTGGGTCAGATACGGTGTCTGAAATTCAGTTGCCCACAAAGAATGTCATATCTGTAAACGGTTCGAAATATCAGGTGGAGGAGAAAGAAAACTTTGTTATGTGCGATTTTTTAAAAACTGGATGAGCTCAACAAGAAGTTCTTATTTTGTTTTATTTATTTATTTTTTTTTTTTTTTTTTTTTTTTTTTTTTTTTTTTTTTTTTACAGGAACGGAAAACAGTGCTGAGAACGTAAACAGGGTCTGAACTTATAAATTTGATGATGCTGTCAGTATAAATTACTAACATGGCTTTCGTTTGGTGAATTTCAAACTTGCGTTGTTAAAACTTCATATCTTATTTTAGTTATCATAATCGTATCTTTTCTTTAAGGAAGTCTATTAAATTCGTGAACTTTTAAAGTATGGAATTAAATAACTCTTCTTTCTACCCCCTCCTTCAATCATTGTCCTAAAATTAAAGTAGTATGTTTACAACACAGCATTTCGTTAGATTCCTGCCGTTTTTTCTAATTGCTTCGATATAAAATTCCAAAATGTTTGGATAGATTACTTAAAACTGTGTAATGCCTTTCTTAAAGAATTCTGAAATCCCATTATGAAAACACGAGTAAGACTTTTCAGATTAGAGTTTGTGTAGATAATTTAACTGATATCATAAAGGCAGGCTTGTAATTGCTTTCTGTTGTAATTTCCCGATACGGAGATTCGCACGCGAAAAGTATTGGCAAAGGCTGATTCCTGCTGCGAATGTAATTTGAAAGACAAGTAGAAATTACGAAAATTTTTACGAATAGCAGCGTGAAGCGTGCAATTACGGAAGCGCGTATTAGGAATCCACAAATGAGTTATTTTTCTTAATTCATTTGCGGATTCCAAAAATGCATTTCCAGTTTGAAGCCAATTAAGGATGCACATTTAAAAAGAACACAAAACATCTCAGTACCTGCTGTTTTAATAACAACAGCATTGCATAAACATATTTCATTGCCAGAAAGCGATAGAGTTTTTCATACAGTTTGCTTTTTTTTAAAAAAAAATATCAAACAACAGCAGTTCATGTTATGGAAGTAATTTGCTGCATTAATATTATTAATTATTAATCTCTGTTGATCTCGTTTTATATAAAAAAATCATAAAATATGGTAAGGATTGGGGCTATGTAATAACTGTCCCTGTAAACAATGGCGCCATCTAGTTTAAAATAAGTGAACACATATTTTAAATTTCTCCTTATTAACATCATTTGTATTATTACATCAGCAAGAGTTTATTTCATATGTATTGCACATGAAGCAAACTGTAATAGATATGAAATATTATTTCACATATGAAATAATATTTCATATGAATTTCTTACGAATTGCGAGTATATCGTTTTCTCACGAATCGTTATTGTATAATAGTAGCCGTTAAGGATTTGCTCTTTTGGAAAGGTAAATAATGGGTAATAATAAAACGATTTTACTGAAACGTGTGCATTTAGATTAGTGCAATGTATTGCGTAATTATCGTTCATACTTTCAGCTTTCCCTCCCTCTTAAATAACGCAATGCCTTCGCGGGTTTTTAAGATAATTTATGTAGAGAAAAAATTACCTTTAAAAAATCTAATTTTTTACTGTGTTTGTCAATGTATTCCTCTGCCAGGGAGAAAAAAAATCGTTGGAATTTTCTTATTTCCTCTCTCTTCGTTAAAATCTCTACTGTTGATTTTTCAGAATTTCTTGATCTTTTTTTGTCAAACACACACATTGAAGAAATCATATAATGACAAGTATAGTGCAAATATGAAAGTCGAATGCAGCGTAATGGTATAAATAAAAGTACTGTGAAAACTTTAGAAAAATTAATATTTACGTTTTCCTATTTTAAAAAATTCCAAGCTGATTAAAATGTAGTTTTACAAACAAGTAGAAAATTCTTTTAAAAAAATCCTGTTCCCCCCTTTTTTTGTGGGGGGGGGTGTTGTTTATTTGAAAAGACTAAGTACACGATGACTAACTCTCCTAAGGGAAGAAATGCCCTCGGAGGGGGCTTACACGAGCACAGTTTTTATTCAACAGTTAGTAACGTCCTAGCCATTAAAAGAAATTAATTAAATTTGTGATATAAAATGGAATGAATAAGTTTAGACTGTTGTTGCCATATAAATGAAACTAACTTGAATGCCTCTCAAGTTTTCTGTAGTTTTTCTGCTGTGTTGAGATGTGCCAGCCATTAAAAATGGCATTTAAGATACTCGAAATAGATATTTTTGCAGTGTTAAATACGTGTTTCCCGAGCATCTATCTAGAACAGTGTTTAAGTAGAGTTTTTAGGCCGAATTTTTTAAAGAAACTATAAATAATAACGAAACGATTTTTTAAATCAGATAGAAATCGACAACCATTTACTTCAGTAAGAGAAAAAAAATTGCTTTTAGAAACTTTTTGTAAATTTGTTTATTTAGTGGTTTCAGTTTCAATTGTGTATTTATTTATTTATTGATGGTAAATCATGAGAAATTTCTACTAAGAAGCAACAGATCCAACAATTCGGAAAAGAATTTGCTGCATTAAGCCAGGAAAAGCTTGATCAGATAACGGATTTTTTGTTTTTCCTTTTCACAATGCAGTTAAGAGTCAAGCTTTTGATAGAAAAGAAGAGTGTAACTTTTATTAATCATCCTTTTGCATTGGTAACATATTGTTCCTCAAAGTGAAATCATACGTTTTAGGCTCCCAAAAGTGAAATTTTATAATTTTGACAAGATTTCAAAAGTTCAAGGAAGCGTAATAACAGACTGAAAGACAGCAGTTGATTTCTACTAAAGTGTCCAGAAATTTCATGAACATGCCGACAGATGTGATTTTTCTTCGAATATGTAATTTTTATGCTTTCCACCCTTAAACTTCATTGAAAATTTTACGTACATAATTTTGAGGCTTGAAAAATGTACAGTCTTTTAACTAAAATTCTCAAAATCAATTTTTGATTATTTTATTCTTTGATTTCTTTGATTTTTCAATGCAAAAATGTTCAAGTAATCAGAAAAGATTTCTCGAAAAAGTATTGTAGTCCATAATTCAAAATGCTTTTCAATATTTCGAGATGTGATTCTCTCCCTCACACGAAAATATTACTAAAAAATGGGAATGAGTAATAGTTAAGTATTTATAACATGGCTTATGTAACAGATTTTATGGGATAATTGCTTGTGAAATTGTCACTTGACTAACTGCTATTTTTGTTATGAAATCCCATCAACACTCTTCTGTCCATACCTTAAGTCGTTTTGTCCTCATTTTTCCTGCGCAATCCATATAAAAGACAGAGTTGTATCACCTCCTGCCCATTGTAACATGTGCAGGAAAAAACTTTTTTCCCCTTCCGGTTCTCCCTTTCATTTCGTACCACCTGCTTTTATTTTTCTCTCCCTACTCTTCTAGCTTTGACAATGATTATGTATAGACCGTAAAACGGGGGGAAATTTTGGAGAAAAAAAATATGCACAAAGGGAGAAAGGATTTAATGTTTTCTGTGCTCCTTTCAAATGCAGTTTTGTTTCTCATCTTTTTAGTGGTGGTTGCAATATTTTGAAACTTATCGCCATTGCTATGCTGCCTAGACTTTTGAGGCATACGATCGTATGTTTGAAACACAATTCATCCGAGATTCTGTAATAAGTAACTTTCATCTCTTGTATTTGAATTGCGGTGTTGTATAGTTTTGCTGGAAACGTCCGTGTGATTAATCAAGAAATGTTTTCAATTTCTTTTTTACAGTACGCTGACAAAAGACTGAGCAGACATAAAAAATATCTCTCTTTTCCCCCCAATCTGTTAATCTATTTCTGTTTTATTCGCATACCTGTAATTAATAGTGCATGATGCTAAAAATAGTTTAGAATGTCATTCACTGTTGACTGTTTAAAAAAATGGAATACGCGCAGATCATGCTTTCCATCGGATTTTTTTTTTTTTTTTTTTTTTTTCTTACTTATTGGAATACGTTTCAGCGAATGGGGTCGTGAAAATTTCTTGAATTCATCA